CTGCTGCCAGGGCGTGACCCAGTGTGCCACCACATGCCAGGATCCCTGTTGTGTGACCAGATGTGCCACCACGTGCCAGGATCCCTGCTGCCAGGGGGTGACCCAATGCACCACCACGTGCCAGGATCCCTGCTGCCAGGGGGTGACCCAATGCACCACCACGTGCCAGGATCCCTGCTGCCAGGGCGTCACCCGCTGTGCCACCACGTGCCAGGATCCCTGCTGCCAGGGCGTGACCCGCTGTGCCACCACGTGCCAGGATCCCTGCTGCGTGACCAGCTGTGGCCCCCCCACCTGCTGTGGGGGCGTCCAGGCCGTCACCAAGCGCGTGGAGTGCTGTCCCACCCCCTGTGTCACCCAGGCCTCCCCGCTGTGCCGCCAGCGCTGCTCCATCCGCTGCTCCGACGTCCGCGCCCGGAAATTCCGGGGTCTCTGAGGGCACCCCCGTGGTGGGATCCTGAGGAGATCGTTGCCCTGTGGAGCCTCCTAAAGGCTAAGGACTGAAAAAAAGGTCTGGAAATGCCTGGATGTTCTTCCTCACCTCTTTGTTTTCTCCCTGGCTCTGGGAGGAGGGAAAATCCTCCGCTGGTTTTCCTTCGGCTCCGCTTTGTTCCTGCTGTGTTTGCCTCAAGAAAGTGCCTTGCTTTGTACGTGTAACCGAGCGATTTTGTGCCCCCAGGAATATTTCCTGGGAGAAAAAGTCTGTGATTCCTCCTTGCACTGGTCTTGGGGGAGGAATATCCTTGTTTGTTCCTTCCTTGTCACCTTCTCCTTTCCCTGTGTGAATAAAACAAATGATCTTGGCCCCCCTAATGTGTTTTCCCTTCACTTCTGTGTTTTATCCTTTTGATTTCTTCCTAAAATCCCAACATCTGTAGGTTGGCAGCTCCCCCTGGAATGCTTGGGAAGGTCTAAGGCAGCAGCTGGAGACCTGAGACCCGTCTGGGATGAGAGAATCAAGGAATATCCTGAGTTGGAAAGGACCCACATGGATCATCAAAGCCCAACTCCTGGCCCTGCACGGGACATCCCAAAATCCCACCACACCCCTGAGAGTTCTGGCAGCCTTGGGGCTGTGCCTGCTGCCCTGGGGAGCCTGGTCAGTGCCCAACCACCTTCTGGGGGAAGAATCTTCCCCTGATATCCCACCTAACCCTGCCCTGGCACAGCTCAAGGCCATTCCCTGCTCACCACAGAGCTCAGGGCCCGATATCCCAGATATTCCAGCTCATTGCTGGAATAAAAAAAAAAACCCTCCCATGGGTTAGGAAAAGCCTTGGAACCCCAAAGGTGGGTTCTCCAAGTGTTCCTCTGAAGTGCTGCTCCAAAGCTCCCTCAAATCTCTCGGAAAATTGTTCACCCAGGAATCAGGAACATCCATCAGGGGCTCCAAACCTCCCTGTCACGGAGAAGGGCAGGTTTTCCAGACAGGGAGATGGGACAGGGCAGGGTTTGGCTGAGCAAATCCCTCTTGGAATGCTGAAGGGAGGAGCGACAGAGCCGTGGGGGAGGCAGCAGACAAGGGCGTGACCGTCTGCGAGCACCCACTGGCTCCTTCTTGGAAGACACCCCGGGGCGCAGGGCTGGTGAACTCCCCTGGAATTATCACCCTCTCACCTCTGGAAGAGGAGCCAGCCGATAGTGGGAAGTGACAAATCCCACCCCATCCCACCCAATGGGGACACTTGGCCTCGCACAAATCATCCCACCCTCACAGTTCTTCTGTCTCCATCTTCCTCTCTCAGCAGGTTGGGGCAAATCAGCATAAAAAAAAAAACAAACCCACAAATCCTCCCTGTGCAGGTTTAATTTTTTACCCCAGGACTCCTTTAAAACTCATTAAAACGTTCTGTGCAAGCAACAATTTCCTTTGCTCCTGCTCCCAGATCAAATGGAAGAACTTTCTGGGAATAAAGGAACTATAAATGGGGGAAAAATGGCACCCAGATGAGATTTCCCCTTCTCGTGGCATGGTGTTTGCATGATATTTAGTTTGCTCATATGTTCGTATGAGCAGATAAAATTCAGATTTTAATTCACCTCGGGTCAGCAGAGAGCAGAAATTTCATCTCCAGGTGGTGCTGGAGGAAGGGAAAGAGGGAAACAGGGAAAGAGAGAATCAGGGAAAGAGGGAATCAGGGAAAGAGGGAATCAGGGAAAGAGGGATCCCTCCTCCCTGAGCACCTGCGTGTTCAAACTCCACCTCTGAAACTCTTACAGCAGGGAGAAAACTGCAGCTCAGGGCAAGAAATGTGAGCTCTGAGAGATCAAAACACAGTTTTATGCAGTAAAATAAAAAAAAAAATGAGGAAAATCAGATTTCCTTCCTTAAAATATTGAGGAAATCAAAGTCCAAAGGCGAAAGATGAAACAGCCGAGGTATTTTTTTATTTTTTTATTTTTTTTCCCCCCTAACCACAGTTAGTTCCTCTTTCTGTGAGCTTTAATTATCCAGATGATCATTTATCATTCCTCCCTGAGCACTCACCTTCCTGGGTAAACAGGAAAAGAGGCCGGATTTGGGCTCCCTCTCCCTCTTGGAGTCCCAGAAGGGACGATGATTTCATCACCTGATCAAAAAATCCCTCGGGGAGGGGGGGGAAAAA